AGAAAAAACGGATTTCCAAAATCCGTCCGTTTGATTCTTGTCCACATCAATTTTTTTTCTTTTATTTTTTGGCACAGATTTTTCTTTTTTTTTAATTAAATAAATGATTCCTCTTAACAATATTGACAGCTAAAAGAAGAGAATGGTATCATATATATATAGAGGACTTTTTGAGTTAGGTGTAACGAAATTAATTTCAGATAACACACAAATTGGGAAACAGTTCAACAATAATAGTAATAAAATAATAGACCTGCAAACGACCTTCCCTAACCAACCGAGCCCCATACGCAAACGCAAGCCCAAAAATTGCTCTAACCGACACAAACTCAATTTGCGTTTATCTCATCTTTTGCTGCCCAAAAAAAAGGCAAAAATTCGTTTTAACTGTACAAAAATGCAGGGTTTTTGAAAATTACAAAATAGGGAAATGCGTCCTGTTACGAAATTATTTTATCGGGATTTATAATCGTCAGATAATCATGTAACCGTCGTGGATAGTTGATCTAACGGTTATAAACTCCAACGGAATAGTGCCGTAACGGGAATATGTAGCCTATCGATGTGAGCTGTTACGGCCATCGGTACGGTTGTCCCCGTCGATGTAATACGGTTGCCCTCGTGAGGCAAGTCTCCTTAAGTCCTGATATGGTCGTGCCCTTGCGAGGTACGTAAGTCCATATGGAAGGCCGTGTCCGTAGCGTGGCATGTACTCCCGCCTTCGGGTAATGAATCCCCGTTCTGCGGCTAGCGATAGATGTGCACAGGAGTAATGTGGTTGTTGTGATTTTGATAGGAGATGAGACATGATGTGATTACTTGTTATATTTTCCTAACCAAAAAAATGTTTTAAAAATTATAAAAGGTATTAAAATTTATAAAAGGGCAATGCACACACATATGAAATACTTATTCTTGAGACATACTACACATATATGAAATACTCCTTTCTATATATATATTTGATTTGATGAGTTTCTTGAGATATATTTTACATATATATTAATTAGTTGTATTTTTCTAAAAGAAGGAAATTCAGTTATTTTTCGTATGCATTTAAATGAAAGTTTAGATAATTTTTTAAAAATAAAAGTAAAGATATTTTTTTTAAAAGAATATTGTTATATATATCCTTTTTATATATTTTATAAAAATAAAAATTACCTATAGCACTTGGCCTGATTATTGTGCTTATAAAGTATATATTTTAGTAATATAAAATTTAAGGGAGGGGAGGGGAGGTGATGTAAAATAATTTTACCTTGTTTGGATGGATTATTTAGGAGGGGAAGTGAGGGAAAATGGTAAACTTTGTTTGGTTGAGGAAGGGAAAATAAAACTAAAATGACAAATTTACCCTTAATGAAATATAATAAAAAATTAAAAACAATTGAAAATAAGGACTAAAAGGTAATTTTATAGCATCATAAATCACTTTCCCTCCAAATCCTTCCACTTTTGGAGGGGAGCACATTTTCCTTTGGAGGAGGGAGTTGAAGAGAAAATTTAAACCCCTCCCCCTACAAAAAATTGAACCAAACAAGGGAAAAATAAAACATTCCCTCCCCTCCCTTCCCCTCCCCTCTGTTTCTCCGAACCAAACATAGGCTAATTCCTCTCTTTTATCCCCTTCCCCCATATCCGCCGCCGCCATCACTCTTCATCTAGCAGCCTTGCGTGTCTTTTTCGCCGGCGGTCTTCTCTCTACCGCCACCCATGGCCCTGTTCGTGGCGCCTTTCTCTGTTTTGCTCAGGCCGAGGGATGCAGGCAAATTCTCCGACTTCACCGACTTTCGGAGACGGTTGGGGTTTTTGTTCGACAATGTTCCTGGGTCAGTGGTGGGGTTGATAGGGGTGTGGTTCGGGTTCGGGTTGCTCGCAGCGACCTGTCGGGGCGCCTCCCCGTCTGATTTTTCAAACGGTCTCGAATTCGACTTTGTTGTTTTGCAGGTACTCTTGCGGGTCTCCAATCGCCGACGCCTTATAATTGCAGTGGAGCTTAGGCCGGGGTTCGGTTTTTGGTGGCTGAGAGGATTGGTCGCGTCGGT